TCTTTCAGTCCAAACAAGTAATGGGGAAGAAGAACCTTCTCTACCTTGCAGGTCAGCTTTGGTCAACTCAACTTTGTTAGCAAAAACAAAAACAAACAGAAAAAGCAAAAACAATAAACAACAGGTTAGTATAAAGATAGATAAACCAGGGTGCCATCACTTTAAATAAATAAAAATAATTAGTATAACACCATCACAACCAATGTGCATAATTAATACATGCAGGAAGGACAACATAAGCAACAAGGACACTGGGGGACATGGCTACCTTTACTCATCACCACTTGAACAAAAGCAAAAACAAGCAACAAAACCACATGAGAGGGAGGAAACGCATTTAATTCACACACAGAGAAACAATCTACAGAGCAGGAAAAGGAAAATATCACATTTTTAACATCAATTCTTCCACATCTACTGATATTTCGAAATCTTGCTTCATTTGAGAAACACTTGGAATCCATTTATGTATAAAAATCTACTTGACTTTCAGCAGACTAGTCAGGAATATTTTGGATGTAGAAACAAAACAAAACTCAAGAACTGAACATAAATTTGCTGTCTGTCATAAGAGCACAGATTGTCTTGGCTCTTTGGACAAAGTGGATTCATTGCCAGCAAACCATAGGGGATTGATAATTCTAGAAGAAGATAACCTTTGTTTAGCCCCAGATGTGAAATTAACAGCGTATGACAAGTGATAGTAAAAAAAAAAAAACCAAAAAACAACACAACCAACACCATCAACAAAAAAGCTTTCCTCTCACAAACTGTTTTATGCTCACAAATTTCAACATGCTTTTAAAAAAGCCTGCATCATCAGGTAAACAGACAGCTCCTTGGGCTTTAAATCCATGCAATCTTTGGCAATCTCATCAGAGCAATCAACAGATATAACAGCAGCGCAAGCTCATTTCTTCTTATAGGCAAATATGATCCTGTTTTCAGCAGTAAAATCATAGCAAAAGAGAACAATGAAGCTAACAAGACTTACTGGAGATCAAATATAAGCTTGCCATAAATTGCAGAGTATAAAAAAAAAAGCAAAGCAGACCAAAATAATACCACTGATATCTTTTATTGGGCACAGATTTTTTTTTTATTTTTATTTTTCTGCAAATGGAGAGTTCATTTTATGAGAAAGTCATGTAGATTTTTGGTTTCTACTACCTTGATTCTAAGTTTTCTTTTACAGCAAGGAAAAAGTATGAGGACAAAGATGGGAGTATGGGCAGCAAATTCTGAATCTTCTGCCAATGAAAGTTACACATTTTTATCATTCTTCTCAATGGGAATAAAAGACACCCAAATACTGACCTTTTATGGTTTAAAAGATGGATACTGAAGAGAGATTGGTAGCTCTCACTTATTTTCTCTTTTTACATTAAAAACCTTAATAAACTTCAACTGGCATACACAGATGCAAATTTTGTGCTTCATATGAAGTTTAGCAACTTTGAACTGGGAAGAGTTTCTCCCATTTCTCTATACGTCTTTCTAGACACATATTCTAAGAGAGTAATTTGTTTGTAACAAACAAGCACTTTTCCTACCTGCCCACTTCCTCATCTACTTCCTAACTGAGCAGGCATTTGTTCCCTAATTCCAGTAACAAAGTAACAATGAAATACAAAATCACAAAGAATAAGAGAACTGCCAAATCATGGAGTAAACAAATGCTCCTCCCCTCAATGGACGAACTCTGATTCTACAGAGAAAAGTCAAGTATCACCAGATTGAAAGTTTCACTACTGAGTAGATGATGAGTAAAATCCTTTTTGACATTATCTTGCTGTGAGATTTTAAGCATGAGATTAGATTTCTTTTTTTTTTCCCCACACACTGCTTGTTACGCAAAATGTGTTTCTGATTATCCAGCCTGTGTCATTCATGCTTCTCACACACCAGTGAATTCAAAAGGTTAACTACAATATTTTAAAGAAAGTAGCACAAGATTTTTATTTTACTGCAGGATTTGGAAGATGATTAAATAAGGACAAGAGTCCCAAAACATCTGGAGCAAAATCACCATCTGGTTAAGGAATAATAAATCTCCTTTGTGAGAAGCTGTTTTCAGTGGAACAGGTGAGGAAAAGAAAAAGCCACATTTCTAAAACACAAAGGAAACTGCTTTGTAAAAAAAAAAAAAAAAAAAGTTATTTAACCACTGCCATTAGGTGTGTTTAGCTCTCTTTTGTGGGGAGAAAGAGGGAAATGATATAATTTAGAATTTCAGATAGCTCTAGGGCCTGTAGTAAGCAGCAAAATGATATACAAATAAAGGAAAGGAAAACATAGGAGAACAAATGGGAAATGAGTATAAAGAAAAGGAAAACCACCCCAACTGCAAGAGGTACCCACTAACAGTTAGGGTAACATTCATTGTTTTGTGGAGTTTCAGACATTCATTCACTTCTATCAGGAACAGTGACGAAAAAGCACAAGTCACTTAGTCTTTTGTGGATGGAATAAATTCAAATTCAACCATTCACCTACTAGTAAGAGCAGGAACTGAGACACTCAGCAAATGAAACCAATTTTAGAAGTCTAGACTCAAGGAAGAGATGACCTGAAGTTTGAACTGATTTACTTTCTGGGAAGGCAATAAGATCATCTGGAATAACTTCATCTGCCAACTCCAGCCTACACTCCACAGCGCAGAAATCTTTTATCTCAAGCTCTCCAGCACCACTCATAGTGCATGTCTGACACAAATGGAAATAGTTAGAACAAGCATGTGGTGAGATGAAGATATAAAGAATGCTGCAATTCAAAAATCAAATGAAACAGTCATCTGGCAACATTTTTATTATTATTACTTTAGCAAATCCAAAATGAGCTGGCAAAAAAAAAACATCTTCCTTTCCAGCACTTCCCCTGGTAGTGAACATGGACAATTCAGGAAAAAAAGCAAGGGTGTTAAATTGCAAGAGTGTTAAATTGCAAGAGTAAGTTCTAGCAGAATGAAGGCTATTATTCACCTTCTTATCTACTTTTTAGGTTTATAGCTGCCTCCAACTTGAACCTTGTTCAAGCACTTTATAAGAGAAGGGAAACACTCCTGACATGTATGAGAACGAAACAATCTCCACATCCAGGCAGCTACTCTGCATGTACTAGATAGGTATGCAGACAAAGTAAGTGCCACCTTACATGACCATGTGCTGACATTAAGTAGCCTTGGATAATAGGAGACTAAAGAACTGTGTTGTGCACAAGAAGAAGGAAATCCAATAGCTCTTACAATGGTGTCAAATCTTCTGGGAAAGCATCAACATTCTGTTCTGGAGGCACACACAGAACAACAGATTCATCTAATGAGAAGTCCTTGAAGGAGAAAGACTACTGGCTATACAGCCAAGCTAGTTTTAAATAGAAGAATTACCAGAAATCACTAATGTTAAAGAGGAGCTGTTAGTGCACTGAAAATAATCGGAAAAGACATTTTCAAAAACCCCAAATGGATTATTTTTTTCCTTGAACCTCAGAAATAACACCACAGCAAAGATACATTTCTTCTTTTAGCAATGTAGCTCAGCTACAAACAGGCAAAGCCACAAGTACTAAGTTCACTTCCACAAGGAACAGTGTGGCTAACACTTAAAAGCAGCAGAAAGGCAGAGAGAAGAACAGCATAAAGCAGTGGAGAGCTTACCAATACTGTGAAATTGGAGTTGACATTGAGTGGGCTCTTGTAACAGGACATAAAATTCTCACAAACCAGAATATTATTGTGGGAGTGTAGCAACAGGGCCAAAGTGCAGGAGTTCCCAGCCAACCGGAAGGCACATAAACAATTTAGAGATTGGATTTAATTGCAATGCCAATTTGTTTTTTCTTGAGTACTCAAAAATGGCTCTAAGATGGCACTTTGAGTACTAGGAAGGGACAGTCTTGACAAGTGTCAATATATCAATATGATGCAACCTGAAATCTTGACGTGGTTCATTTGGTAAAGTCCTGTCTGTGAAGACCAGTTAGGAAAACATCTTGAACATGTGAACTATAAATATCTCCTGATAAAATCTATTTTCCTCTAGTGATTAGTAACCAACACAGCAGACTGGTGTTCAGTGGAGTTAGACACAATCATGACTTCCATTTAACCCAACCAGCAGAACCCTGCACTTTTTTATGCCAAGTATCCCATATGCTATGGGAACTGATAATAGGCATATGATTGCTGATGATGCCAATATTCTTTTAAAAAATTGGAACTAAAGAAGAACAGTAAATTATTCAAAAGAAGCTTCAAGAAACCTCTGCTCTTTACAAGCTTCAAGAAGTCACAACACATTTGTTTCCATTTAAAAAAAAAAGTTTTCCAGGTGGTAGGACAATGTTGGGGAACAGCCTCAAATGCTTTTATTGAAAACCCACTTCCTCAACGAGGAAATTCTATTATGGTATGATCTTCACCCTTCAATTACTAACACTCCTTTCCATTTTCCCTGTTTCCACTTGGTCCTCAAAATACTTATTAAAAAAAAAAAAAAAAAAAAAAAAAAAGGAATATATCAAAAAAAAAAAAAAAATTG